TAATACGGTTGGAATCAATTTCAAAATGAGTTACTGAGCTGATGAATGATAAAAACATTGACAGCCAATCAAAATATTTCAGACTTTACATTCAACATAACGTTATCATCTGTTGGTGTGGATGATAACAGTTATCATTGAAGCTAGTTTTCATTCTTGGTGTGAATGGGCCTTTACTCCAAAGAGGACTCGGAGCCCAGTATATGCATTTAAGATTGAATATGTGCTAGTGTATACGATAGAAGTCAAAGGTCACTTTTTAATATATACTATCTTGTATTTACAAAAAGAAATGCATTTACTTTTGTATGGCTTGTCTGTTTAATGTTCAATGGGATTATGAAAGAGAAGCTGTTTTGTCATTAAAGGGTTAGGTCACCCAAAAATTTAAATTCTGTCATCATTTATTTACCCTCATGTTGTTCCAAACTCATAAGACCAAGGAAAACCAACATCTTTTGTAGACACCACTGTCCAAATACATAGACCTAACTCTACCCCTACCCCTAAACCTACCCATAATTTATCCCTAAAATAGCTGAAGATAGCTGAATAACAAAGCATCTAACCCTGGTTGTAAGCTTAAAACTGACATTTACTGTAAACTTATCCCTCAAATCTGATTGGTTGATTGGAGTGTTGTTCCAGGTTCAACAAGGATGTTGATCCAGGAACATGTTGTACTTGGTGAAATCACGTTCACCATTTTGGTCCCTTCACTGAAGGTCCAGGTAACCAAAACTTAAAGGATCCAAAAAGGTTAAAACGGCATTGTAAAACGAATCCAAATTTAAGCTTTTCTTTACATATAAACACACATATATAGATCACATCACATCTGGTAACAACTAACACTAACACTAACTCTCAGTCTGGCCTTTATTTTACGCTTGATATCCTAACTGCTTCAGTGATTTACATCTGTTGCAGCTACATGCGCTTATTTTGATGTAGTTCCTGCTTTCCACAGACAGGACGGTACAAACTAACCCTAGTCCTCTCCATCTCCCAGCTCTGTTGCCTTTAATGTGCTTAGGAAACTGTGAATGGAGCTAACAGAGCATTACTGACAGACCTGTTCAGAATATAGAGTCAAATCTGACACGTCTGCCACACTCTGTGAACCTTGAGGAGAATGTTTAATAGTTAGACAGTATCAACATAGCTGTAGTTTGTAATTATAGGAGTTGCATTATTGTGTTTGTATTTATGCCTTGTACAGTTTATGCTTTTTCCAAAGACCATGTTTCCCCAACATAAGTCATGTGATTATGTAGCATGTCTGGACACAGACTGGTGAGGGTTGTCGGGGAAAGTGACAAAACACTTGTTGCTTGCTGTAACATGCATCTTGTGCCTTGTTATATATATATATATATATATATATATATATTTTCTCACAAATTTTGCCATTGAATCATGATGCCAAACTTTGTAAATGTCTTAATTTTATGGCATGTCTGCGTTTCTAAACACTAAAGATTTTGTTTGTAGCTGAGACCACAGACTTGGTCTCAAATCTCAAGTTTTCAAGTCATGTTTTAAAATTTACACTGTTACTGTGTCTTCCAATGCCTGATTCATTTGTTGCATATTTTAAGGTAGGTTTCACTGAAATTCTTCTTTGAAAGCTTTCTCTATTAAGTTTTACTCAGTATTTACTCCACCCTGAGTCATCAAAATTAGTCCAGGCCGTGAGTCTGTTGACAAGTCAATATCTACAGAGAATCTTTTGACCGTCAAAGGACTGAAGTAAGAGTTTGTGATGATTGTCGAAAAGCTACTCAGAGCCCATCCCTGAAAAGCCACTCTGATGAGTAGATGAACACAAACCTTTCATGGTAGAGTTTCAAAATGTCCCTCCTAGCGCTGTTGCTGATGACTTCTTGGAAATAACGCAGTATAGACCATCGAGTCTTTAATAAATCAGCAATGAGGGCAAATTACATCCACAAAGCAACTTACAAACATTTCTTATTTTGGGAGGGGTGCTGTTGAATGATCATTATCTAATTTGAATTGTCTTTCTTATGCACAGTGGTGGTTGCTTCAAGACCGCAGGGGCTTCCCCTAAAATGTAAAAATATCAAAAAATATGTAATGTCATTTATGAATATATAATGTCACTGAGAACCTCTTGAGAGCTTTATGCATTGTTGACAGCACTTGTAATTTAAAAGCACCACTATACATGGAATGCTTGGAGATAGATCAAACAATAAATGGAAGTCTGTTGTGGCTCATAAGGCATTTAAGTCAGTTTGTAAAAATATGCTTTATTGGTCAGTTTGAAAAGACACTTTTAGGTGCAGTACTGCAGATACACATAAAAAGCATCAAATAGATCTTAAAGTGCTTCCTAACTCTTGAAAATCCTTTTTTTTCTATATTCACATATTATGTCACATTTTGTATTATTACGTTAAGATCTTTTATATTACTATATTTATATTACTGTGAGGGGTTCTGTTTGAAAAGTTAAATAAGACAACATATTTGATATTTAAATCATTTTAGGAATCAGGGAGGGGAACTTTATGTTTCTCTGCTGTGTTTCAGTGTCTTGGAAATTAGCTCCATGAGCTCAGTGAAACATCTTCATGTGAAATACTTGATGTAATGCTCAAAGTACATACACATAGCCCTGACAAAATACAACAATTCAATCTGTGTGCAGGTTAGGAAAAGAAAATGTGTTTATCATGTACTCACACCTTCAAAATCATTCATGCACACAGATTTCAGTGTATTGACTGAATGGAGTTATCTCATATTTTCCCCAAATTACCGGTCCCTTATGAACAGATGACTTTTGAAAAGGTTCTCCTATAGTATCATCACTCATCAGTTACACTGTATTTTAATCTTAATCATCTGAATGGTGTGGTTCCCATAGACACACTTGCATACAGTGGATTCAAAACCAGTGAACAATTGTTGTCCTTAGCCAGATTTAAATGAATGTAATTGGTTGTTAACCCTGCGTTTGGGGAATGTTAGATATATTGCTTCTCTGGAAGGGTGTCAAAGCCTGAACTAGAGGTCAAAGAAGCAGACAGGATGGTGTCAGTGGAGTCACTATGGTTATCTCTGGTCACCCTCCCCTAAATCACAAAACGATATCCCTCACAGTACAAGCTGCTGTAATTTAGCTGAGGACACTAATTTGGATGACCTTTGCTTCACCCTTTAGTTCTTGAAAGGGATACTTCAAAGACTTTGAGATAAATATATATATATATTTAAAAATATATTCTTCTGCAATCTTAACAATTTGTGTATACAGTTTTTAGAGATAATAAAAAAAAGATTACAAAAACATGACAAGAGTCATACATTATTTATTTAAATTACACATTTATTATATACAGAAAACGCAATGTTTATTTTGGGCTAGAATGCAGATTTATATCTTGCCAATGGGTTTATTCTTTTCTATAGCTCTAGGCCTTATTCTCCCGAGTCCACCCTTAAGAAAACCTCTTAATTACCCTTAATTGCTTTACAGCCACACTGACAGAAGCAAACAGGACATTCCTGCAAGTGTGAGTTGTATGACAGACGCGACCAGACAGAGACAATGAACACAGCTTCACAAGTACTTGTCAACGTAAGGACAAAGTTACTGTAGAAACACTGTATGTACTATTGATTTGTAAAGGTCACTGTGGACTATTAAGAGTGTTAATACTACTGTTTATAATATTAAAACAGATTTTGATTATTCACAGTATAAATATAATAAAACTTCATCTACTGTATGAGATTTAAACATTTAAATTGCATTAGACATGTACAACAGCTCCAAGTGATAAAGGCTTGGTTGGTGTAACTCTGCATTTCTGGTTTTCAGTGTATGGCTTTCTTTCTTTTAAATTATGTAATATACTTTATGACCTTTTTTTTTTTCTTTTGTCCCACTAGCAAAATTCAGAATGTGAGCATTCTTTGGTGTGGGTCCAACAAAAGCTTTCTTTGGTGTTGATCCAAAATAGCACTACTATACATAATTAAAGAATTATTATCATTTTGACATTTTAAAATACATAAATGTATTAAACTATATATGTGAACCACATGTGAAATGCAGTGGCACATAGGCATTTTTAATCTAAAGCAGGCTCAATGAAACTCCAGCTCAGCTGGGTCTCTGCTCAGGATCTCCGTTTATAATAACCCTGACCTATAGTGTAAGTATATTATAGTGAAATTTAAAGTTTGGTATGGGGGCTTCTGGTAAATTGAGGCCTTTCATATCAAAATCGTAATGATAACATTTTAAAAATCACTCTAACTCTAGCAAAATCCTCACACCAACTATAACATAATACGGTTGGAATCAATTTCAAAATGAGTTACTGAGCTGATGAATGATAAAAACATTGACAGCCAATCAAAATATTTCAGACTTTACATTCAACATAACGTTATCATCTGTTGGTGTGGATGATAACAGTTATCATTGAAGCTAGTTTTCATTCTTGGTGTGAATGGGCCTTTACTCCAAAGAGGACTCGGAGCCCAGTATATGCATTTAAGATTGAATATGTGCTAGTGTATACGATAGAAGTCAAAGGTCACTTTTTAATATATACTATCTTGTATTTACAAAAAGAAATGCATTTACTTTTGTATGGCTTGTCTGTTTAATGTTCAATGGGATTATGAAAGAGAAGCTGTTTTGTCATTAAAGGGTTAGGTCACCCAAAAATTTAAATTCTGTCATCATTTATTTACCCTCATGTTGTTCCAAACTCATAAGACCAAGGAAAACCAACATCTTTTGTAGACACCACTGTCCAAATACATAGACCTAACTCTACCCCTACCCCTAAACCTACCCATAATTTATCCCTAAAATAGCTGAAGATAGCTGAATAACAAAGCATCTAACCCTGGTTGTAAGCTTAAAACTGACATTTACTGTAAACTTATCCCTCAAATCTGATTGGTTGATTGGAGTGTTGTTCCAGGTTCAACAAGGATGTTGATCCAGGAACATGTTGTACTTGGTGAAATCACGTTCACCATTTTGGTCCCTTCACTGAAGGTCCAGGTAACCAAAACTTAAAGGATCCAAAAAGGTTAAAACGGCATTGTAAAACGAATCCAAATTTAAGCTTTTCTTTACATATAAACACACATATATAGATCACATCACATCTGGTAACAACTAACACTAACACTAACTCTCAGTCTGGCCTTTATTTTACGCTTGATATCCTAACTGCTTCAGTGATTTACATCTGTTGCAGCTACATGCGCTTATTTTGATGTAGTTCCTGCTTTCCACAGACAGGACGGTACAAACTAACCCTAGTCCTCTCCATCTCCCAGCTCTGTTGCCTTTAATGTGCTTAGGAAACTGTGAATGGAGCTAACAGAGCATTACTGACAGACCTGTTCAGAATATAGAGTCAAATCTGACACGTCTGCCACACTCTGTGAACCTTGAGGAGAATGTTTAATAGTTAGACAGTATCAACATAGCTGTAGTTTGTAATTATAGGAGTTGCATTATTGTGTTTGTATTTATGCCTTGTACAGTTTATGCTTTTTCCAAAGACCATGTTTCCCCAACATAAGTCATGTGATTATGTAGCATGTCTGGACACAGACTGGTGAGGGTTGTCGGGGAAAGTGACAAAACACTTGTTGCTTGCTGTAACATGCATCTTGTGCCTTGTTATATATATATATATATATATATATATATAATTGTTCTACATAATCACAACAGGGTCAGTTGTGGTTGCGATGAAGGTTCATTTCTAGCTGTAGCGTTTGATCTGGTTTGAGCTAGTATTCAGTGCCTTTATGATGCACTGGTAGACTGAGTCTCTGACTAAGAATTAATGGTATGTCTGGGTGATTTGACATAAAGAGCATATGGTTCTTTGTGTCTTGGAAATAATGGCAAACTGGGGGGTTGCCAGGGTACAACCTAAAAGTTACTTAGCTAATTATACCATTTCAGTTTTTACACAATATAATCAACAACTTATTATTCTGATCCAATATAGCTCTTCTTGTAGACATGGTTCCCTGTAATATTAAATTAGTCTGGAAAGTCTGGAATTACTTAGAAAGTCCATAATATTTTTAATGTAGGTAGCAGTGCTTTTGGGAAATGTGCTAGAGATGTTAAGTGATTGGGTAGGTCAACTTTAGGCGATGAGTAAACGTCCAGTTTGATCTGTCAGAGAGGATTGTAGAGATTCTTTCTGAATTGCAACTGGATAACCATGTCCAATCATTTGGTGTAGAGTGAGTAATGGTTAAAGCACTGACCCATGTGGTGAGGCTATGGGTGAGGTGTGTGAGCTTTTCCAGCTGAACTTAAGATCTGTTATCTTGGAAGGAAATAAGCCAGAAGAGCAATGACCTGGAAATGCACATCTTGGCCAGTTTAGATATTAACTGTTTGTGGTAAGGTCTCATGAAGTGCTATTTGTAAAAACTGTGATAAGTCTCCACACTCTCAGAAAAAAAAAGTTAGAAAAGCTTTTACTGTTGCAGTTCCCCTTTAAATGGTACACCTTTGTATGCTATTTACTCCAAAAGAGTACATATTAGTACCTAAAATGTTCAAACCCCAAAATAATAGCATCTTTTGACTTAAAAATAAAGATGAAAATGATTATTTATTTTTGTTTATGTTTCTAAGACAATTCTGAAAACAATCTTATCATCTTAAATTAGAATTCATTTTAAAACGAAACTTTCATCATTATAATAATAATAATAATAATAATAATAATAATAATTGTAGTAGTAGTAGCAGTTTTGCTATAGCATATCTGTTGGGAAAACAATTAAACACAATAAAATCATAACAGAATATATCCTGACAAGTAATGAAGGTGGACATTTCTTTATTTATTAAAATTTATTTAGTTCACTACTTACACTGATGGCATTGTATTTAATTAGACGAAATTAAATAATTATAAAACAACAAAGTACATATCAAAGTGATTTATAGTGCAGCGTGAACCTATCTCAAAGTTCACTGAGTCACTTTCTAACCTTTTCAACATCGGGCTGCTCTCTCTTATCATCTATTCTAGGGATGTAACGATTACCGGTTTGACGATAAATCATGATAAAATTCCCCACGGTTAGTATTACCGTTTCATCTTTTAATTATCATTAAAACCGTATTAGATTACCGCGATTTGAACAACTCACGATAAATAAATACTGTCCAGCATAAAGCACAGTTTTAAGTAACAGTCTCACGTGCGCACAGGAGCAGAGTAATTTCGTTTTGAGTGAAAACAGGGCGGAAAAGCTGGGAGGTTTTAAAAGAGTGCTAAGGGAATTATACAAATTAATATATGAATGAATTAATTATATGAATGTACCTCTGAAGGTTCTAACTGTCTTCAGAAACGATTCGATGGCATTTTGTTTTCATCTTCGCTCCATGTAATACCTAAA